GGAGGGGAAGATATCCTTAGTCATTGACCGCCTTCTCGGAAAAGGCTGCCGTCGCCGCAGCCTTCCATATATCTGCTACGTAGTTGCTTTTGCTGCTTATATAATAATACTCATCCTAGCGTCATTTCGTAATGTGAGATGGAGGAACCTTCTCTGCGAAATCCATGAATGGTTTTAGTTCCATTCTTTCCAATTTTCACTTAACTAGGAATCCATATCTTATTGATATGTATGTAGGAAGTTAGTATCAAATTACTTTACTGTTTCTAGAATTACAACATTTAAATATTACTGATTTGCTGTACTAGTATGAGAAATATCTGTGTGCATCAACCACATTAATTTCTGCAAATGTTACTTTAATAGAAATTAAATAGTGATAGAAAACCTTGCATAGTGAAAACTGCAATAAAAGCCATTTTAAAATTTAGAGGATTCAAAAGTTGACGGATAGAGACGGGATATATTGGGTTTTAGAGATTCCCTTTAGAACTATACCGTGTCTTGAATTTTAAAGCCCAAATAATTACCCTCTTCGAGATAAAGTATAGTTTTTGCCGAAAATGCTATAGTTGCTTACTATGGTATAATTTTAATTAAATGTTTATGTTTTAAAAAATAAAAGTACTGCTTTTTATCTTATAGGAACTGAAAATCATATGAAAAGCTAAATGGTGGATAATAGCTGTATGATTCCTTGAGTAGAAAGTAGAAACTTTTGGTTATTTAACCAAACAAAAAAAAAAAAATGTATATATATATATATATATATATATATATATATATATATATATATATCGACATATGGCGTCTCTAATCTCAGTAATAAACTTCTATATACTGTTAGTGAGTTACAGAACTACAAACCAAGCCTGCACGAAACAAATGGGCTTTGGGCGAGTACAATACTGGCTTAGTATAAATTCACCGTATCTTATTGTTTAACTATTAAACTGGAGGTTTTTTCCTCCGGGACAACTAAATAACTTATTAAGAAAATCGTTACTTTTAGAGTCGTGTCAATCTTCACCAATGGTTAGTATTTAGTGGACTATTTTTATAATATTATATTCTAGATGCTAATAAACATATCCGTGTTATCGGTTATACGTTGAATGCATTACAGAGAAGGATGGCTATCTCATTTTCTGAGTTCTCTCTAAAGTATTCTAGTTAATATTTAATTCTATTATCCAGTCTTAAGTTTATTAAACGGGCTTAATAATCCTGCAATTTCAAATTGGTATTGATCAAATATTTTAAAAAAATTTTCTCTATTTTTAATTACCTTAATGCATTTAATCAATAGAGACTTATACATCAATATTCTTGGTCAAATAATTTAATTAATAATTTCTAAATAGTTCCATAAGTTTTATATAGGTTACGATGATGTTGCTAATGCTCCTTAATTAATTTTTATTTACTATTGCAGTATAAATAGTTCATTAAAATTATCGACTAATCGTTTCTAAGTTTTAACTTGTTAAAGTCACTTTAGTTATTATTAATGTAAAACAGTATAGGAAGAATTAATTTATCATCAATTATACAAATAAGAAGCTGGAAACCATTATTTATAATTCTAAAGAACAATTTAACTGCGTTTGAAAATAGATGGCATACCCTCACTTTAAATTATCAGTTGAAATAATAAGACCTTTCGCTAATTCTTCTTATATTGATGACTGATATAAGATAAATTGATGATATAATAGCTTCGATGGTTGTGAAAGACTCTTGCTGATATATTTATGCCTAATTTAAATTTATATGTTTTATCTTCTTATTTCCTATTTATTCCCTTGTTATTGATAACAGAATATTTACTCATTCTGGTATAATCTCGATTGGCATAGAGTTTGTGTTTTTTTTTTTTTTTTAAATACATATTTACAAATGCATTGATTATTGATGATAATTAGGAATTATATTGATGATAAACTTTAATATAATTTATTTGGTCTGACGAAAACCCACGTGGGGACGAAAACTTCGCTGCTTTTATCTTATATGCAAGGTCAGAATACATCTAGATATAGTTTCAGGAAAATAACTCTGATTTCGTATTCGGGATTTTCCACTATATTTTCGTTGAAAACTTTTATGGAAGTTCAAAGATGGAAAATTTTTATCTGTTCAGTTACAGAGGTCATTTCATAATGATTAGGTTTGCGTTGCTGAATTATTGAATTATAACTAAGATTTAAACATCTAAATGTAAGCAATACTCTATGTATGTTTTTTCATACTTACTTATTTGTTATTTAGAATTTAAAACATTACTATTCTTTCTTATATATTTTTATTGAAAACAAATACATTACAACCCTAACGGTTCGGGGTTCAGCTCTTAAGGCTTTCACATATTAATCTATATTTTTAATTTTTATGAAAAATTTAATCTTAGTTAAATGTTGTATATTGTATCTTAGGAGTATAGTTGTTCTAAGTAGGATTAGGAGTTTATGGATTGTTCATCTTATTTTTTCTAATTTTCTCGCCACTCCTCAATCTGAGAAGAAGTCTAGCCCCTTGAAGACCGTCAGACTGACGGAACTACCTGAATAATCGAAGAAGTGAACGATGTTTTATCAGAAGTTCAGAAATCTTGAATGTTGAATCGCAGAAATGTCATACAAATCGTTGTGGAATATACCACCCTTGCAAAAATCGTATAGACAAGAGATAAGGAAAAGAAGAATAAAGACAAATATTTTAATAAAAGATACATTTTATTTCTTGTCACACTTAAATACCATTATTAACTACTTGTGTTTTCAACAAGTGATTTAATTTCCAAAAGCATTTACCAAGTTATAGTAGGAGTAAGCACTGTTCATAACCTGAAAAAAAAGTTTCATATTAATATTCTCTTTCATATTATAAGTATATTTGTAAATTTTTAAGGTACTAGCTCAAGATCATTTTGAGCACACTGTATATCGAATTCCGAAAAAAACTGGAGGTTATCAAAAAGTTTACGTAAATGACCATTCTACATCTCTTCGTACATGAATGTTTACCTTGGATTGTCTGCTTAACTTCTGATCACATTCACTTCTGTTTTTCACTCGTTCGCCTTAAGGTATATACTCGACTACTTTCGACATTACTCAAAATTTTATTTATAGTGTTCTATGTGATCTTGAGACAAAACTACTTAGTTCGCGCCTCTTGTCCCGGAACTTAAAAATTAGAATCTCTAAAACAATTATCTTGCCTACAGTTCTTTATGGATGCGAAACTTGGCCGCTTACACTAAGGGATGAGCAGCTTCTTAAGGTTTTTGAAAATAAAATATTGCGTAGAATATTCGGACCGAAGAAGGATGAGTTAACCGGAGAGTTCAGACGGTTACACAACGCCGAATATACGTGAGCTGTATCCGGGTAATATAAGTGAGGTAATTTCATCGCGGCGAATCAAATGGGCTTGTAAAGTTGTGCTTAGTAACGAGAGAATTCCTAAAAGGTTAATATTTGCTGTGCCGAATGGTAAGCGTCCGAGGGGTAGACCGAAGCGAAGGTGGGAAGATTGCATTAAAGCCGATCTAAAGGGACTGGGTTTGGACGGCGAACGGTGGAGGGAGGTGTGTAATAAGCGATTGGTGGTGTCGGCATCGAACCTCCGGGTTCGCTAAGCCTTTTATTATTATTATTATTATTATTATGTGATCTTGAGGCCAGTTTTCATCTTGAATTAACGATTCAGACAGAACTAGTAGCATATTTTTTCCTGCTTCACTTTTTATTATTTTCATTAAAGTTTGAAATATCCAAATCCACCAAGTGATACACAACTTATTGCTCAAAGCACAAAACTGTTAATTGATTTTATGAGACTTACCGTTCCAAATGTTTCCATGTCGGCTGGCACTATTCCCCCCGCCATCAACTTCAATGGTTTCAGAGTCCTCTCTTGGAAAATCATCAGGTTGCTTTTCATCCTCCTGTTGCAAAGGTACCACTTAATGTTGTATATTTTGAATCGTAGATCCATGTTCTGCGAATTTCAAAATTAATTTATATCATGGTCTTATAACTGCTATTGTTTAAATCCACTAGGACATTTAATTTATTCTGAAATTTCGAAATAGTTTACTCTACTTAAGGGATTCTTTTTCAAGGAAAATTTCTAGTCGTTTATAATTTGTAATTTGTCTAATTTGATTCTTTCCTACTGCTGCATGGCGACGTAACATTTCTTTGAAATATTTGAGAAAAAATATATCAATTTGCCAATAATTGTTAAATCCTTAAAGTCCAATCGCGCAATAGAATCTGCAAGGAAGAGGGATAGTTCCCAAGAGTAGAAAAATTCAAATAATTCAGCTTCACAATAACCAACGGTCAGAAATAGGGCAGTGTATTGCAAGTGCAAACATAACTCTGGGGCGGGGTGGCCGAATGGGCTAACGTGCTTGTGCACAGCACCACCGTTACCCGGCAACCTGATATATGATTAAATGATACAAAAATAGTCATGATTTCGCGTCCCGGTGCCAAGGCGTCTTTTAAATCCCCGCCCACACCCCCTGGCCCGGGAAAACCCCGTGTAGCCTTAACGGCGAGGAAGGGGAGGACCCAAAAAAAAAAAATAATAAAAAAAAAATAACAGAACTCTGTTTCAAAGGTATTGAAATCCTGAAAAAATCTCTAGAAATTTCAAACTAAATGTTTACATTGCTATGGTGGAGCCAGTTCTGATATACGGCTGAGAAATCTTAGCGCTCACTAGCACTCTTGAAAGATTTGTGAGAGAAATCCTCTGCACGATAACCAGAGTCATATGAGATCAGAAAACTAACGCATGGGTTAGAAGAGACAAAATTGCTTTTATAAACTATTAAATCAATATCTTATGATATGAAAGCAAGAAGGTTAAGGACAGGACATTTAGAAAGGCGTAGACTAGATGGATCGATCGAATTTACAAATATTGTGTAGGACTGTATGCAGATAACTGGAAAGCAATATTTCAGTATAGCCAAAGGGGCGGATTGGTCAAGCGGGCTAGCGCGCGTGTGCACCGCTGTAATCCCTTTAGAGCAAATTATAAGTACAGAATGCCTGTCTGTGTTTTCGTCGTTTTATTCGCACTGTTCAATTGAACTTTTTGGTTATAAGTCTATATCTATGTTACCTTTAACTGATTTTGAAAGGAATCTCTGTTAATTATATTGATTTTAAATGGCACTCAAATGTATGTTTGAACAACCCTAGATCCATACATAAAAGTGCGATTAATTGCGTTAAATGAATAGAGTTTTTCAATGTTCTCACACGTGCTGTTTTGGTCTAAATTATATAATATGTTTTAGAAAATTAATAATAATAATTCTAATAATAAAATAATGCATTACCAAATCTGCTAAGCGTTGTCCGAAGACCGAAAATAAAAACATGTAACCTATCTCGACTCCACATAATACCATCGATGCTACAGTTGTTCCAGGCAGCTCGTCCGCCTAAACAGATTCTCATAAATGCAATAATATATCTAAAATATTGATTAAATAATTTTTATATATTATTTAATAATGTTTACTTGAAAGTTTAAAATCAATTATGGTACATACCGAACCTGCCGAAATCAAGCTGAGAGCTATGACTATTGTACCAGTCATATAAGCCAGAAACACTGGTATGGAAACAATTTCTTCCGTATAATTAAAAGCCCTGAAAAATTAATTTGTAAAAAAATATTTATCTTTTCTTAATCAAACTCGAAAAAAAATCAAAACTGGAAGAGTGTAAATTTTAGAGAATTTCAGTCAAAATTTCTGACAAATTTGTTTCATCCTTATTAAAAAATATCGATTATTCAAATTGATAATGGCGGAGAAAAGGTTGACTTTGGATAATTTTAGTAGAAGTCGGTTTGAGGCTGCAGTCGGTGAAAACATGATTCAAAATTGAGTTAGGCAACAAAATTGTGATAAGGAAATTGGGTACGGTTGTGACGGGCGGATCTACGGGGTGGTTAGGGGGCTTTCAAGCTGAAGTCCTCCCCCACCCAAAAAAAAAAAAAATGGGAGAATATAACCATGTTTTATCGAAAAAAATATTAAACAATTATCTCTGAAAGTATTATTGTTTGTTTAATTACATTTAAAAGGGCTTTAGGAATCACTTTAACACCATTTCATAGAGGTTTTTTCTTTTTTTCCAAAGTAATTATCGTTATTTTTATGAAAAAAAAAAAGCATTCGGGCTGAATCCCCCTCCCCCCTTCAAATTAAATCCTGAATCCGCTAGTGGTTGTGACTGTCGTCATATTAGTGAAACTATAAGGAACTGCCGATAGGTTTGTAAAGAAGAAAGACATGTAGTGTCTCTCTGCACGTATTTAACAGTATTGCTAACTCATCGCGCAATATTAGCGCTAGTAGAGTTAGTACTTTTCAACAGACAAAAGTAACTATTCCATTTCTTTGAATAATTGTCGTTATACAGATACCTGTCACAATATATATTGTCGTTATATACAGATAGAGTAATAAATGTTTTTACTCGTTGTTAATTAGCATTTACTTTGTACGTAGATAATTTTATATTGTCGAGGCGACTGATTTTTTGCGAAGGATTGCGTCGTGTACGGTTGTGAAATATTTTTTTGGGTGAGGAATTGATACTAGTAATTCATTTTTTTAGATAAGCGCAAGAAAACGCGCAAGTTGATTTTTATTCAAATATGTATGCCTTATTAGTTTTGCGATTAAATTGTTCTATAATGTTATGTAATATTATAAGAGTGATTTTAGATTATTGTGGTTGGGGTTAGTTTGGAGTTGGTTATGATATTTTCTTTTTTTTTTTTCTAATTTGCTCCTATGATGTAGCCAATGTACTTAGAACAAAATTTTAGTATTTATACGTAGTCTAAAAAAAAAAATACCTACTATGAAAAAACACCTTTCTTCTACTTAATTGATATACTAAGGACGATTAAATGAAAATTGTCACAACCGTACCCAGTCTTCTCTAACTCAATTCATTTTTTTGTTCATCGCTGCAAATTTTCCATTTTTTTATTATTCAAAACCGAATGATGAAATGAATGAAATGCTCTTTATTTATATTTTACTGGGATAATACAGTATTTTATTTCGACTAACCAGAAAAATCGATTTTATACATTTGGTAAATGGCCCTAAGAATTTTGATTAAAATCGGTGTTTAAATTCAGTTTTATTTAATGAGGCAGGTCTCACATCCTTTTTAAAATAGCATGATTGTGCTTAAATGCCAAATTTTTAGAATTTCATACTCTAAAGTATCTTTATTTTAGTTTTTTGAAAATGAATTAATCCTTTATGGCATGAGGAATGGGTATATCTAACATATAATTTCTTAGGGAGTGTAACTAAATAGGAACTTTAATAGTTTTTTTATAACCCTAACAAACTAATAATATATAATGCATCGAATCGTTCTAAAGTTGTTTGAAAATTATTGTGATGTTTATGACTTTAGTTTAATAAATTCTACCTCGATAGTTGATTTAAAAATATATATATTAAGCAGCCCTGATTGAGCAGAAATTTAACTATTTAATTAGATTAATTATAAATACTAATAGATTAATTAGTAAGGAAAGGTCTTTGTGCACACCGCGTCTATTTTTTATTTAACATTATTTGGATCTCGCTAAAAAAAAATGATAAAGTTTGTATATTACGATTTGATACCTCAAAATAATCTGATGATGTTTGAAGTTCTTTCTCAGGCACTCGCCATAGCAATATGCGAAGTGGTAGTCGTCATATTGCGTTGTAGTATCGCGTTTCATTTTTCCAAAGAATCGTTGGCACATATTTTCTGCTCTGGTTTCTATCTGATCCAAGGAGTTTTGAAGGAGCTTTAGCTGCAGTGTAAGATTCAGCGACAAGTTTAGAAAAAGAAATCCTCCGCTACCAATAACGACGGTGAGCAGACCGCCAATGATCAACTGCCCGCCTAAAGCGAAGTAGTAGTTAAACCCCTCCCTGGTCTGGTAGAAGTACTTGGCGTACGGGTAAGGCAGGTGGGTGCTAAACGTCTCGGACATGGTATCGAAGTCGAAGAGAGCTGCCTGCTTATCCACGATGGGTGCGATCACCAGGACGGCTCCGGCAGCCAGAGCCACGGCGACAGGAATCGAACTGAGAATGCGGCGTTCACGAACCATCGAGGTTCGCAGGACATCATCACCTTCCGCAGGAGGTTCTTGATAGTCGAAGAAGTCGTGGATCAAGAGCTTGTGGAAGAGAGTCATCTGCCGATGCTTGGTCTGCAAACAGACGAGCAAGATGATCGTCAACTGGACCAAGAGTGTGAAATGAGTACTCTGGCAGAAAAGAACCATGTTGATGTCGATCATATGGATCGTGGACATGCAGAGTAAGGCGTAATGGTAGGTGAGGACGCTGACGTAAAAGGTCCATTGAAGGAGGCTCAGCACTCGATTCCTTCCGTCCAACTTGACGTAAATGCAAGAAATCTGCATTAGTCGAAAATACTCCTTATCTATTAAATCATAGATCTTTCCGTCGACTTCATTATCTATGCTATCATTTAATTCACTCACTTTGTCATGTAACCATTTACTCCAGCTTAATCCGAAGACCATTTTGCCATTCAGACCTTAGTATTACTCTTATGGTTCTATACTGGTTAGAAAATCCATGCCAAATGTACTATTGGAATGAGAAATAAAATATGAGATAAACACTTGCTACATATACTACATGAATTATATATCTACAAAACTCTGGAAACTTTGATAAACTCGTTTTTCTGTATTAATATTCCATCATTATTGTTACGATCTATACTTTTCAGTGTCCATCGTCTCTTGTACGAAAGGCCAAATATTCAATGTATTTTTAACAAGATTTATTGACTTCCATTGAAAAATTAATTTCTACTAAAAGGAGCTCGTTAAGTGAATGTTATTTGATAAACAGCACTAAATTATTTATTCGGATTCTAGAGTTTTAATTTTTAGTTCTTATAGCTAACTTGTTTAGTATTGACTAAGTTTCATATTCAACCTCCAATCATTTCTCATCAGACGAGCACATTTAAAAATAACACGTGAAATACTTGTTATTAAACTTTTCAACTGGGATATCAATCTATCAATTATTTATGCATTAACTTGTACAATAGAATCCGAAATTCGTTGACTATTGAAGCTCTCCTCTCTAATAATATTATTGAAGTTTATATTATTTTGTTTTGAATATTGTCGGTGGTATGATATTTGACTTATATTATTGGTAGATTGTCTATTTTATTATGCCATTTTAGGATACCTCAATGAGAACTCTAACATTAGGTAACTACAATTCTCCTTAATGAACTCGACGTGTTAGTGACATCAGCGCAATATGGACAACTTCATGCTTTACCACACAACTGTTAGATTAACAATTTACTTAATAAGTGATTAGCTCGTCCCACTGATCTTAAAGTGATTCTCCTACATTTACCTTTTCAATACATTTTTAGAACGTCCAAGATTATCATAAATACAATATTTTAATTTTTAAAACCTACAGATGTAACCGAAAAGATCCCATGACATCCTAAGACATTTCCTGCCGTATTATCTATCACCATTTTTTTCAATTGATATTACTTTTGATGTTGTTGGAGGGCATTTTTCATTCATTCTAGTTCGAATTCTGTACGTTTCCAATCCTTCCAGTCCAAAGTCCTTCGAATAATTGTCAATGCTCCTCCATATTATGTCACAAGTAAGACCCTACACCATGACCTCACCATCCCGTATGCCCTTGTTATCATCCCATCCAGATTCTCAAATTTTCACCAGAGCCTTATTCATCTTCCTAATCCTCCAGCGCAATTCCTATTCAACTCCGATCATCCATACCATCCTCGTCGAAGGTTAAAACGACAGCGACCTCGAGATCTCTTGTAAATATACTTTTGGAATTGTGTAAATGGCCAGCTTCTCCACTCAAGTCCTGAGCGTCTGTGACTCAAGTGCTCGCTTTCAGTCTCCAGAGTCTTCCAACACCAGTGTAAGAAAGGTACTGGGATCTCCTGGATTCCTAATCTGCCTTTCACGTAGGGAGAACCAGGTTTGGCTCGGAGTTTCCTGGGTAAATGTAAATATAGTACATAGATATGAATGTGTTTAAGATGATTTATTTTATTTTACTTATTTTTCTAATGTTGTTACTTTTTATTTATAGTAATTTCTCTATTTTTGTATATATTGTATGAATGAATACTTTTAGCCTTAATACTTACTGCCCTCCAAATGGCAAATTGTATTATTATCCAATAAATAACAAATAAAAAAAGCTCAGTCAAAAATCTGCGAGAACTATAAAATAAATATAACGTGACACTGTTATATTTGAAGGATAACATTCTGTATTTCATAAATATTATTATAAATACATATTGTTAGAATACAATGTAACCTTACCTGTCAAAAAATTATTACGGTTATATTGACCAGCAAAGGGATGAAACTCCCCCAGCTAGCTGTTACATAAACAATATTACATAAAAGGTGGAGGTGACCTAATTAACTTAAATCTATTTTTATTTGTTTCCTCCTTCTTCTTTCCTCATTTACTTTTTGTTTTCTTCTTCGTCATTCAATCTTGTAGTTTTTCTATTTTTTTTAAACAGTATTACTACCCTTTTTATTATTATTATTATTATTTTATTCTAAGACTTTAAATATTGTACACAATAAGTTACAAGTCTCCGTATCCGAAAAAATCCCATCTAAAAATTTGGACAAAAAACCCAATGTGTTCATGATTACATATCAGCGTTCATATCGTCAGGATACATATCAAAATAGATTTTTTTTCAGGTTTCTCGACTTTCCTCTGTTAGTCACCGATTTATCACCGGAAGACTTCATTACTCATCAGATGTAAGGTATTCTATTTCATCACATATCATCCGCGCTTAAAAATACGAGGTCTCACCATTCAATGGCGTGTATTAATCACGATATGGATGACGTCAGAATATGAAAACCTTATCTGTTGCAAACCTTACCTCAAAGACGTTTCTTTACTACCAATACAAGATAAATCGTGCAATGATATACTTGCTTAGAAAGGAATCACTCTTCAAAGGAGCCCCTAATCCAAAATGTTAATATTCTTTAATAACTGCCAATGACGCGTAGCGAAAACTGAAGTTTCGTCTTATTTTATCCGTTTTTTCTAAGATTTTCCCCAAACAGACTTTTGCATTGTATTAAAGGTTATGGAAAGCAGGTGGGATTTTACAACTCTTAGAACTCGATTATGATGGTTTAAGAATTGTCTAATATATTTACTTATATTATTAACTTACTTTTATTTACCTTTTTTCTATTTGATTTGCAGACTTTGTAGACTTTCAACTCACTCCGTGTAATGTAAAGGCTTTCATGGGAATGTTACCTATGCCATCCATCTTAAACTTCTTGCCTTCATATTATGACATATTGTTTGACCAATGTCTCTAAGCAATTCTTTATCGGTTCTTATCATATATTCCTTAGTATTCTGAACCCAGATCGCTCCAGGTATCGTTCAGAAGATTTTTATCTTAATATCTTTTTTTTTTTTTTTTTAAATTTAATTATGATATTTATAACTGTATTAGTATGAATACATCAAGTAAATGAGTACAGAGGAATCACATGAAACACGCTTGTTGAGAAACTACCCATTGGTAGCACTCTAATAATTTGTCTATATGAGGAGATCACGAGGCCTTCTTCTTTTCAGACGCCTCGGAGGGTTATCAGGAATCGAAGAGGAAGCAAGGTTAGAAACAAGAGGATTCGGATGGTTATGAAGCTTATTATGGAAGGATAGGTATCTGGATTTGGCCAAATCGGAAACATATGGAACATTGAGGTCTTAATGGATTATTTTATTTTTGACAAAGTAAGGAGCATTGAGGATTTTACGAAGGATTTTGGATTGTAAAGATTGGATACGAGAGAAATTTGATGGTTTAGTGGAGCCCCATAGCTCAACTCCATAAGTCTTATTATAGTCATGTATATGAGTTGTTTGTAATTAATTGGAAGTTTAGAGCTTTTGTCCAGTAAGTGTTGGAGTAAGCGGAAACGTCGAGCAGTTTCTTGTCGTTTCAGTCTTTCAACTTTGTGCAAGATTCCAAGTGAGATGTTTGTCCAGCTGGAGTCCTAGGTGTCGGATTTGTTCCACAGGGATAAGTGGCTTAATATTTAAATATTTCATTCAAGAGCGCAAGTTAATATTAAAGTTTCGTTGCCGTATATCAAGACTGGTTTCATCATTGCATTGTACATCCTTATTTTTAAATTTCTAGAGATTTTGTGAGATTATAATACCTTTGAAGGAGATAAAAAGAACCGTTGGTTGAGGTCATTGTAGAGCCGGGAAATTTGAATTGGTCCACTTTTGGGAACTCTATTCACAGATATCATGCGGACGATTATCATCTCAAATGTTTTCTATACTTATTTCTAAGGTGATACTTATCTATTTTATAATACCATTTTGATTTTGTAGGATAAAATAAAACTATGTTTCTGCTGGTTATACATGACGCTCAGTAAAGATTTTCCTCCTGCCCAGATCTTTTAGAGGTGCATTTTTCGGCTTATTGTGAGATACATAATATTAAAAAAAATATAAACAACATAAGATGTTCAGATGTGTGTTCTAGAATAATAATGATATTCCTCATCTCATTTCTTAAATAGATAGTAGGTTTATTTTATTTCCATTCTGCTTCTCTCATCAGAATTTATTTGGAAGTTCCTGCCTTTTACGTTTTGGATTGTCATTTACAGTACCCATTTTCCATCTCCGGTGATCAAGTTATCAAAAAACGCTTATGTATTGTGCCGTTGAAGTAATAAGTTGCAGTTGGTGGTTTTATGACCAACAATTTTAGCAATAAACAATTTTAATTTAATTATTTTCTACTTAAGAAGCCACTCTATCCTTAGAATGCCTTTGCCACGACATTGATGTACACAATGAGCTGGCTGACTAATGACATAGTGACATACTCAGAAACGGCATTATTTTCCGCTCCCCCTAATATGTTTTAGTGAGGTTTGCAACTATGATTCCTTTGTGGCGTGTGTATTTACTTTATTTGTTACATGGTATGTTTAAGGTTTGTGATTATTTTCCAATAATCAGAAACACATAGACTTTAGTTAAGGAGCACCTGTAAAAGCCAGCAATCTGCACTTTTTTTCCTAAAGTGTTACTCTAGTTCTATATATTTCTGTCCGTACATGCATCTTCGTTTAGATCATGTACGATCCTTTAGGTCACCCAGTTATTATTGTAATTATTTTATTTTGTTTAAATTAATGTTTATTGTATTTTTTTTACGAATACAATTTTGTTTTACTATTATTGAATAAATCACCATATTTTTTTCTTTGACTCTTTTTTGTTGTTGGTGTGTTCCCGTTGTCCTTATATAAACATTCTTTTTTTTTTTCTTTTT